CTTCCTGACGGGCCGCCCCCAGGTGGTAAGGGTAGGTAACAACACATCCGCCACGCTGATCCTCAACACGGGTGCCCCTCAGGGGTGCGTGCTCAGTCCCCTCCTGTACTCCCTGTTCACTCATGACTGCATGGCCAGGCACGACTCCAACATCATCATTAAGTTTGCCGATGACACAACAGTGGTAAGCCTGATCACCGACAACGACGAGACAGCCTATAGGGAGGAGGTCAGAGACCTGGCCGTGTGGTGCCAGGACAACAACCTCTCCCTCAACGTGGTCAAGACAAAGGAGATGATTGTGGACTACAGGAAAAAGAAGAGGACCGAGCATGCCCCCATTCTTATCGACGGGGCTGTAGTGGAGCAGGTTGAGAGCTTCAAGTTCCTTGGTGTCCACATCACCAACAAACTAACATGGTCCAAGCACACCAGGACTGTCGTGAAGAAGGCACGACAAACCCTAAGGAGACTGAAAAGATTTGGCATGGGTCCTCAGATCCTCAAAAGGTTATACAGCTGCACCATCGAGAGCATCCTGACTGGTTGCATCACTGACTGGTTGCATCACTGCCTGGTACGGCAACTGCTCGGCCTCCGACCGCAAGGCACTACAGAGGGTAGTGCGTACGGCCCAGTACATCACTGCGGCCAAGCTTCCTGCCATCCAGGACCTCTATACCAGGCGGTGTCAGAGGAAGGCCCTAAAAATTGTCAAGGACTCCAGCCACCCTAGTCATAGACTGTTCTCTCTGTTACTGGAGCGCCAAGTCTAGGTCCAAGAGCCTTCTACATTTTACATTTACATTTTAGTCATTTAGCAGACGCTCTTATCCAGAGCGACTTACAGTTAGTGCGTGCATACATTTTCATACTGGCTCCCCGTGGGAAACGAACCCACAGCCCTGGCGTTGCAAGCGCCATACTCTACCAACTGAGCTACAGGGGACAGCTTCTACCCCCAAGCCATAAGATTCCTGAACATCTAATCAAATGGCTACCCAGACTATTTGCATTGCCCCCCCACCCTTCTTTTACGCTGCTGCTACTCTCTGTTTATTATCTATGCATAGTCACTTTAATAACTCTACCTACCTATGTACATATTACCCCATATTACCTTGATTAACCGGTGCCCCCGCATATTGACTCGGTACCGGTACCCCCTGCATATAGCCTCACTATTGTTATTTTTACTGCTGCTCTTTAATTATTTGTTACTTTTATTTCGTATTATTTTATATTGTATTTTTTAGTGATTTTTGGGGGGTATTCTTTCTTAAAACTGCATTGTAAGGTTGTACCTGTTGTATTCGGCATATGTGACAAATAACATTTGATTTGATTGTCACACCAGCCTTTGCTTTGGCTCCCCCTCTTGTCTCTTCATTATTACACACACCTTGTTCCAATCCCCACTCTATCACTGTATACAGTCGTGGTCAAAAGTTTTGAGAATGACACACATACTAATTTTCACAAAGTCTGCTGCCTCAGTTTTGGTGATGGCAATTTACATATACTCCAGAATGTCATGAAGAGTGATCAGATGAATTGCAATTAATTGCAAAGTCCCTCTTTGCCATGAAAATGAACTTAATCCCAAAAAAACATTTCCACTGCATTTCAGCCCTGCCACAAAAGGACCAGCTGCCATCATGTCAGTGATTCTCTTGTTAACACAGGTGAGAGTGTTGACGAGGACAATGCTGGAGATCACTCTGTCATGCTGATTGAGTTAGAATAACAGACTGGAAGCTTTAAAAGGAGGGTGGTGCTTGAAATCATTGTTCTTCCTCTGTTAACCATGGTTACCTGCAAGGAAACACGTGCCGTCATCATTACTTTGCACAAAAAGGGCTTCACAGGCAAGGATATTGCTGCTAGTAAGATTGCACCTAAATCAACCATTAATCGGATCATCAAGAACTTCAAGGAGAGAGGTTCAATTGTTGTGAAGAAGGCATCAGGGCGCCCAAGAAAGTCCAGCAAGCGCCAGGACTGTCTACTAAAGTTGATTCAGCTGCGGGATCGGGGCACCACCAGTGCAGAGCTTGCTCAGGAATGGCAGCAGGCAGGTGTGAGTGCATCTGCACGCACAGTGAAGCGAAGACTTTTGGAGGATGGCCTGGTGTCAAGAAGGGCAGCAAAGAAGCCACTTCTCTCCAGGAAAAACATCAGGGACATATATTCTGCAAAAGGTACAGGGATTGGACTGCTGAGGACTGGGGTAAAGTCATTTTCTCTGATGAATCCCCTTTCCAATTATTTGGGGCATCCGGAAAACACCTTGTCCGGAGAAGAAAAGGTGAGCGCTACCATCAGTCCTGTGTCATGCCAACAGTAAAGCATCCTGAGACCATTCATGTGTGGGGATGCTTCTCAGCCAAGGGAGAGGGCTCACTCAAAATTTTGCCTAAGAACACAGCCATGAATAAACAATGGTAACAACACATCCTCAGAGAGCAACTTCTCCCAACCATCCAAGAACAGTTTGGTGACGAACAATGCCTTTTCCAGCATGATGGAGCACCTTGCCATAAGGCAAAAGTGATAACTAAGTGGTTCAGGGAACAAAACATCAACACCCAACATGGGTCCATGGCCAAGAAACTCCCCAGACCTTAATCCCATTGAGACTTGTGGTCGATCCTCAAGAGGCGGGTGCACAAACAAAAACCCACAAACTCCAAGCATTGATTATGCAAGAATGGGCTGCCATCAGTCAGGATGTGGCCCAGAAGTGAATTGACAGCATGCCAGGGCAGATTGCAGAGGTCTTGAAAAAGAAGGGTCAACACTGCAAATATTGACTCTTTGAATAAATGTAATGTAATTGTCAATAAAAGCCTTTGACACTTATGGAATGCTTGTAATTATACTTCAGTATACCATAGTAACATCTGACAAAAATATCTCATAACACTGAAGCAGCGAACTTTGTGAAGAGCAATACTTGTGTCATTCTCAAAACTTTTGACCACGACTGTATATACTCCCTCTACCGTTTTGTCTTTGTTGGTCATTGTATATGTTGCTTGTTTTCCTGAGAGGAATCTCTCCTACTATTTGCTGAGTACATTATATTTTGCACTGTGGGTTTCGTCCCGCTTTAAGCTATGGTGCTTTAATAAATTCAGTAGTTCTAAACCTGCGACTGCCTTCTGCCTACTCCTCTCTACACCTGTGACAACTATTTCCAATTTGTTGTTGCAACTGTTAGCTAGGTAGCTAACGCTAACGTTAGCTTGTGGGCTAATGTTAGCTAGGCTAGGGGTTAAGGTTAGGAGTTAGGTTAAAGGGTTAAGGTTAGGGTTAGCTAAAAGGGTTACGGTTAGGGTTAGCTAACATGCAAAGTTGATCAAAAGTAGTAAGTAGTTGCTAATTAGCTAAAATTGTCCATGATGAGATTTGAACACTCAACCTTTTATAATATAATATTTAGCAGACGCTTTTATCCAAAGCGAATTACAGTCATGCGTGCATACATTTTTTATTTTATTTTTTGTGTATGGGTGGTCCCGGGATCGAACGCACTACCTCGGCGTTACAAGCGCCGTGCTCTACCAGCTGAGCTACAGAGGACCACCCATTTGGTTGCAAGACATTAGCGTTATACATCCACCCTGACCAACCACTCTCCTTTTAAGTTTTGCCTTAAGTAACCTTCTGTCTTATGTAACCATTCCAAACCTAACAGATCATACTAATTTGAGTTTCCAGGATTTACATTTACTATGTTATGACTAGTCAATGACACCAGGCTGGACTGATTGACTGTGTTGGCTGTACCCGGTGTGGTCAAATCTGCAGCGCTCTACTAATGTGCCGGAGCTGACAGGGAGCTCTAACTATCAGAACACATGGGGAGGTGGGAGAACCAGAAAGACTTCCTCCAACACCAACCTGCCTGAGCCTACTGTATGATTTCACCCTGTTATGCTGAACTTGCGTGACGACTGAAACGGAATTTTCCCCTTGCTCTATGTTCGCTATCTTCATTGCTGAGAAGAAACTCATGTCCGTGGGCGTGGCGTAGCGTTTGTCCGGAGCAAGGAGTTTGGGTAGCCAGGCAAACGCTGAACACCTCGGAGAATAGATTAGAGTAAAACACCTCACACTTTACACTGACTGGGGCTCTACTGGGGGATGAGGTGAGGACAGGGATCTGACATTGGTTTTGTCAACTTGTGGTCATAAATGGTAGAGTGGACTGGATGTCTTTCAAATCAGTCATGCCATGTTTAAATGAAACTAATTTGACACAGCTCAAAACTCCTTCCGTGTATTTGCATAAGAATCAACCCTATTGAGTCTTGCTCCCGTCCGCGGGTCATGGTGAATCTCCAAAGGCGCGCCATTCGTGCGTAATTGGCGACGTTTAGTTTGGCCACACTGGCCGTCAATGGATGCAGTGCTGTAGATTCTGAGACCTGAATCTAAGTAAATACATTCCCAAATCAAACACTGATCGGAAGCCCCGTGGTGAGGATGTGTTACCATAACAAAGGACTGGGCTAGTGGTGAGGCTCTAATGATATAGGAAATTGGTGTCACAACCACATCTGTAATGATCTCAACTTGACTGTGTTTTTGTTTATTCACACTGGCTCGCTCTCCCTCAATAGACAAACCCATAGACAACAGATGAACCAATGAAGTGACAATGTGTAAAGGATTTGTGGAAGAAAAATACATGTATTAATATACTTTGAAAATGTGCAATTAATTCATATTATGCCTTTTTATCTTGTTTTGTCATGTGAGGAGTATAAATGCATGCATGGGCAATATAAATTAGGCTACGTATTTACATTTAAGTGCTCAAAAAACAAGTGATCGGCTAATATACCCGTTGTCTCAAATATTCACACCAACAAGAGATCTCCTTTTTAGCCTATAATAATTGAAGTTTGAAGAAAAAAAGTACTGTGCGTCACCGAGTCGCACTCGCATCTCTCGGTGTCTGTATTGAGGGATAGAGCACCCATTCCTCATTCTCAAACAGATACATTGTCCATTGTACATCTGCACTTCTCCACTATCATGTTGGGAAACTCGGCCACTTCTATCTCCGTGTAGTCTCCTTTTTTCACCAGGTACATTATAGGTAGCGGCGCGTTCTCCGTGGCCGCGCACCGCCGTTCTCCGTAGCCATAATGACGCTTTGGCTGCTTGCACCCTCCTGTGCATCGGAAGGCCTGGTAGCCCGCAGGTTCGATTACCCAGTATTGGGTCCAAGTTAGCTCCCGGAAGTTGATGAAGTGGTCTTCTCTGCAGCACATGCCGTTCGGCTTGCTGGACTGGCAGTCACCGCGGGAACTGGACGGAGAGAAATGGTCAGTCAGGTTATTACGCGCTCTGCCCAGGAATGGCTTGGAGGTTATTCCGGAGAAAGTACAACATTTGACACACCTATAGAGTATTCTCAAAAAATCTATAAGCAAATGTCATACTGTGACATAGCAGCCAGGTCCTTGTGTATGTGTAGCCTAGATGCTTAAAATGTGTCCACTGTCCAACCAAGGTTCTAAACATTGCCATTAGCCTAACTATTAAATGTCACCTACCCATATTCCTCCAGGTTCAAGGTGTAGAGAAGAAGCTCAGGCTTTCCCGTGGTCTGGTCAGAGGGGTCCTGCGCGGTAAAGCGCACACTCTTGGCCATCTCGGCTGCGTAGCTTCCTGGTCTCTCGCCCTCGACCCGCAGCTCCAGGCGCAGTGGCGCCTCGCGACGTCCCTTCGACCAGTAGTGTACCGCCTGCGTCACATCAAAACCCTTCCACCCAGTCTCGTAGATTGGCACCAACCTATTGAAAAAGGACATCCATACAAATTAATCACAATAGTACTTTAATTAACTAGCATGCCAATGAATTAGTATTAGGCTAATTAAAAGTAAGCTGTTGAATGATGTGCAGTAACGGTACTGACCTTGAGTCTACCAGTGAGGAGCGGTTGGCGCCGTTCTCTAGAACCTCCACCCAGTAGATGCTGACCCGGGCGTTGTTGTCCGGCTTTTGGCTCTTCATCGCAGCCAGGGGCAGTTTATGAGGGGCGTTCTGGTAGAGTCTGAGCTCCGCCATGGTCACCTCGCTGTTGGCCGGGACCCTGGCCTCCATGTCGAAAACCAACCGCTCTCTGGTGGCGTCAGAGTAAAGAATCTCCCCAGATATATCTGTTATGTAGAATATAACAGGACACTGTCAGCATGTGGACAATTGGACATCAGTGCGTAATTTGGAATCCAAACAGAACCAAACTGAGAATTACGCATTGGTGTTAACAATAGTATTGCTAAACATCATGGAAAATAAAATAGAAAATGAGTCAGTCTTTGAAACTGTCATATTCCCAGTCTTAGAAACTGTCATAGTTGCCATTGTTGTTTACCTGCGTTTCCGGATATCCTCCTGAGGATACCTGCTAGGCTGGGCAGAGAGCGGCGTCTCCTTTCGTGGTGCAGCTTCAGCAGGGACAGGTACTTGTTTCTGATGTGGCCAGGAACGACCAGGTTCTCCAAGTCCCTTTTATGGATCCTTGGGAGTTCCTTCTGTCCAAGCCTCTGAAGCATAGCCTCTTTCAGGTTCTCCTGATTGAAGCCATGCGTCAGAGAAAGTATCGCACAGGCGCACAGCAGCCAAATTGGGAAATATGCCATTTCTGAAAGAGATGAGAGTAAAATCCTGTAGCGTTGTTGCGATGGAGGAGGACAAGGACTGACCACCTTTATATATAGTAGCCCCGCTGTGACATCCCGACGGACACTTCACGTGTCCAAAGGGGTGGTGACCAACATCAAAGACAGTGGATGCGCGGGAGACGCTACAAAGTAACGCCCCATTTAAGGACTAATAGCCTCTGCCTGATACCTGGTCTCAACCCCCACCTCCACTCACTCACCTATCACACCCATCACCACCACATCGACCAGTAAAGATGACCCTCGTACATGAAAGGAAAACACACATTTCGTTTTTAATGTCCCCATTTTCATCTGAAACATGGGTGGATTAGACGCCAATAGATTAGCAGATAGAGGTGCCTTATAAAGGTAATTCATGACGTGATAATCTCTCTCTAATGGACATCTAAGCGGTATCACCCTCAGTGTCATTCAGTCCAAACGTCTTTGATAGGCTTCCAGTAGGCTATGTCAATTCTTGAATTATTTAATTAAAAATCTAAACAGTTTGAGCCTAAACTTTGCATTATTTATCAAATAAAGCTACTGAGTGGCGCAGTGGTCTAAGGCACTGCATCGCAGTGCTAACTGTGCCACTAGATCCTGGTTCGAATCCAGGCTCTGTCGCAGCCGGCCGCGACCGGGAGACTCATGGGCGGCGCACAATTGGCCCAGCGTCGTCCAGGGTAGGGGAGGGAATGGCCGGCAGGGATGTAGCTCAGTTGATAGAGCATGGCGTTTGCAACGCCAGGGTTGTGGGTTCGATTCCCACGGGGGGCCAGTATAAAAAAATATGTATTCACTAACTGTAAGTCGCTCTGGATAAGAGCGTCTGCTAAATGACTTAAATGTAAAGCTATGTCTGGGTCTGGGATGATGATCTAGTTTTCATTATCTAATATTGTTCTAATTGGAGCACTAGTCTTGTTTGATCTAAAGGCATAAATTGATGGACATCACTGACAGACAGACAGATATTTTCCTCTCACTCATTAACAACTGTCTCCTCAACCCCTCTGTAACTTTAGAAGGGCACCCCATGGCCAGATTATCGTATTAGTGTAATTAAGTTTGTCAAGAATGTGTATAACATTATTAGTGTGGTGTAGAGGTATGTCTATCCTTCTCTGCCTGAGTCTATGGTGGTCCCCCTGTGTGTGTGTGTGTGTGTGTGTGTGTATAGTGTGTGTGTGTGTTTGTCAGGTCAAACAGACTGGTGTGTATTGGGAGCAGAGCTCCCACAGGGGACAGATGAGTAATCCAGTGTGTGCTCTGCTCTGGGATGTGGATTGTAAAAGCCTCTTCACATGGACCTGATTATGTGTTTCTATTGCAGGAGCTGGCTGGGTCTTTTTCTGTCACATACACACACAAACACTATAGTGGCTGAGGCAACTGGTTCCTCTGCTCCTCCATAGGGTCCCAGTCTGGGGTGTGTATTGGAGCTGGAGTGTGGCAGGTGGTCTTGGGATGACAGACAGTGTGCCTGCAGACAGCATATACACAGACAACACACACACACACACACACACACACACACACACACACACACACACACACACACACACACACACACACACACACACACACACACAGAGGAATGGCTGGTCAGGCAGAGGACAGACACATACACAAACACAAAACGTGATGCCAGATCAACAGTAGTCAGACAGCTAAACAGATGTGCTCCCTGTGCTGTGTGTGTTAATCATGATGTTATTAGCGGTGTCTGTTTGGCAGAGCGGATCTGCTGGGTGGGTGGGCAGGGGTGTTGTCCCCATTTTAACAGATGTAGTAGACAGACTACACTAAACCAACACATTCAACAAATGAGATTAAAGATTCAGACAAATTAATGTCTTATTTTTCAGTTGTTTCCTGATGAGGGGGAGTAGTAGCCTGGTCCCAGATCTGTTTGTGCTCTTGCCAACTCCATTGCTGTCATTGTCAAGCCAAACATTTTTTAATTCACCACATTAGAGTTGGGAATAGAGCAGCAAAAATGACATTTGTGCAAAACTTCAAATATGAATTGGTTGCCTATTTAATTGTAACAAATAAAAGTAGCCCTACAAAGTTAGAGACACATTTGTCGCCCATTGTGCCAAGACAAAATGCCCGTATTTTTGCTCTGGTTATGCCTAACCTAAATGTAAAATGTGGCGGTATTTCTAACTTTATTAGATAGTGCCGTTTGTAAGGGGTGACGCCAGAGCTGTCATGCCCATAAGGGGCACAGGGGCACGTGCCCCATCACATTTGTCCTATTTTTTATTGTATTTTTCTCTGTAATACCACTAGTCACTTTTATGACGTTGGCTTTAGCTAGCACAAATAGGTTCCCAATCTCCCAACATCATAGCTACACTAATAGTGAAAAGGTTGGACACACCTACTCATTCAAGGGTTTTTCTTTATTTTGACTATGTTTTACATTGTAGAATAATAGTGAAGACATCAAAACTATGAAATAACACATATGGAATCATGTAGTAACCAAAACAGTGTTAAACAAATCAAAATATATTTAATATTTGAGATTCTTCAAAAAGCCACCCTTTGCCTTGATGACAGCTTTGCACACTCTTGGCATTCTCTCAACCAGCTTCACCTGGAATGCTTTTCCAACAGTCTTGAAGGAGTTCCCACATATGCTGAGCACTTGTTGGATGCTTTTCCTTCACTCTGCGGTCCGACTCATCCCAAAACATCTCAATTGGGTTGAGGTCGGGGATTGTGGAGGCCAGGTCATCTGATGCAGCGCTCCATCACTCTCCTTCTTGGTAAAATAGCCCTTACACAGCTTGGAGGTGTGTTGGGTCATTGTCCTGTTGAGAAACAAATGATAGTCTCACTAAGCTCAAACCAGATGGGATGGCGTATCGCTACAGAAGGCTGTGGTAGCAATGCTGGTTAAGTGTGCCTTGAATTCTAAATAAATCACAGACAGTGTCACCAGCAAAGCACCGCCACACCATAACACCTCCTCCTCCATGCTTTACGGTGGGAAATACACATGTGGAGATCATCCGTTTACCCACACCGCGTCTCACAAAGACACAGCGGTTGGAACCAAAAATCTCAAATTTGGACAAATCTCCACCGGTCTAATGTCCATTGCTCGTGTTTCTTGGCCCAAGCAAGTCTCTTCTTCTTATTGGTGTCCTTTAGTAGTGGTTTTTTTGCAGCAATTTGACCATGAATGCCTGATTCACACAGTCTCCTCTGAACAGTTGATGTTGAGATGTGTCTGTTACTTGAACTCTGTGAAGCATTTATTTGGGCTTGTCACGACTTCCGCGGAGGCTGCCTCCCCTCCTTGTTCGGGCAGGCTTCGTCTCATCATAGCGCTTGATGGTTTTTGCCACTGCACTTGAAGAAACTTTCAAAGTTCTTGAAATGTTCCGTATTGACTGACCTTCATGCCTTAAAGTAATGATGGACTATCGTTTCTCTTAACTTATTTGAGCTGTTCTTGCCATAATATGGACTTGGTCTTTTACCAAATAGGGCTATCTTCTATATACCACCCCCACCTTGTCACAACACAACTGATTGGCTCAAACGCATTAAGAAGGAAATAAATTCCACAAATTAACTTTTATGATGGCACACCTGTTAATTGAAACTGGTTGAGAGAATGCCAAGAGTGTGCAAAGCTGTCATCAAGGCAAAGGGTGGCCATTTGAAGATTCTCAAATAAATATATTTTGATTTGTTTAACACTTTTTTGGTTATTGCCTGAGCTACATGGTAGAGCATGGCCCTTGCAACGCCAGGGTTGTGGGTTCGATTCCCACGGGGGGCCAGTATGAAAAAGGTATGCACTCACTAAAACTGTAAGTCGCTCTGGATAAGAGCGTCTGCTAAATGACTAAAATGTAAATGTAAAATTACATGATTCCATATGTGTTATTTCATAGTTTTGATGTCTTCACTATTATTCTACAATGTAAAAAAATTTAAAAATATAGATCAACCCTGGAGTGAGTAGGTGTGTCCAAACTTTTGACTGGTACTGTAGCTACCAAGAAGCCATTTCAGGCTATCAATCAAGTTAGAGTAGCTAGCTTGTCTAACTATCTTAGCTGGCATGCCTGCTGACAAGGTTGGTAGACTTGAGAAAAGCAAGCAATAACTAAATGTACTGAATAAGACTCACATTCCTTTTAATCTTTTCCCCAAATTTCAGCAGAGATGCAGAGAAGCATATTTAGTTTCTTATTTTACAGACACCTCAAGAGGTATACTTAGATATGCAGAAAAATCTACATATTTTTTACATCGAATTAAGCGTAATTATTTTGGCTCTAGATTGCAGGAAAAATCTGTTTTAGGTGTTTGAAAAATGCAAAAAGTTCTCAAATTTACGTACAGGGGGCAATGCCCCCCCCCCCCCCCCCCCCCCCCCCCCCCCCCCCCCCCCCCCCCCCCCCCCCCCCCCCCCCCCCCCCCCCCCCACCCCCCCCCCCCCCCTTTTCTGTAATAATCAAAGTTATAGTAGGCCTACATGTGTTGTAATAAAGGTATTGTAGCCTTAGCTGATCAAAATATGACAGTGCTTATAATGAGTTCTAAGTGGATTAAGAAAAAAAAAGAAGCATAAATCAATATCCTATTAAACAAATTAAATTACAGTTTTTAGATAAGTAGCCTAATTTAAAATTACTTAAATATAGTAAAATATGTAATTCTTCTTATCGCAATAACCTTTTCATAGCTTGTCAGAGACACCACAAACCAAGTGTAAATTATTCTACAAATGTCTGGCCTACTTTTACAACCTTTGATTTCCACCAAAAACCTTGTGTGAATTTATTTAAATTAATTAAATCTAGTGAAATATGTTATTTCTAAACTGCTCATATATGTTATTTTATTATTTCTAAACTGCTCATATTCTTAGCCCAACAGTTCTACGAGATCCAACCGTTCAGTTTCTCACAGAAATCCTCTCTGATGGATTCTCCCCCTCC